TCCGGTGCCTTCCACCCCTCCGCTGGACGCGACAAAAACACGCTTGGACCTCAGGGTCCGCTTTGTGTTCGGCCGATCAATAGATTGATTGGACAAAACAGGGAAACGGAATTAGATCAGGTTTTTCTTAGCACGCAGGTGTTCTCCTTTTCCCTCTAACTGGGGAGGCGGGGACCCTCAGGCTACCGGCATTGTTTCGGAACCAGTCTCGAACTTTAGCATCGGGGTCGGCTCGAGCATCCCAACTTGAATGTTCAGCCGAAGGGAGCTAACCCCAGCAACCCCAGTTACAACATGGTAGTCTATTCGCGTAGGTTGAACCTTCCCGAATCCGTAATCCCTCCAACTTGGAGACTCGGACGTGTCATATGCCAAGGCGGACGTGGATTCTGCATGAGTCGAAAGCAGCTGTGAAAAAAAAGACACAAAGGTGCAGGCGCAGCGGACTGAGCCAAACAGGAGTTTAACAAATTTCAGAAATGATGTGGGTCAAGGAGGCTGGAATTTCTTTGTTGGGGATGCTGATGTTCAACCCACATCAGGTAAGTAGCCAAAGCCACGCAACAACGAAAACAAGGAGAATCCCACAATCCACAAAACAAGGCGCCGGCATGGTTAGGAACCTCTGCGTTTCAAGCACCAAACGCAAAGGCGCAACGTTTTTGTTTCCTGTAGTTTCATGGCAACTGCTTTTGAGCCGACCTTGGAGTGCAGTGCTATCCACACTACTTTGCAAAGTCTAACATGGCATTCGAGCGAGCAGCTGATCAGCTGATCATTTTCTGTGGTGTGCAGTTTTCAGCGTTACTTGTTCAACTGTTGGCACAGCCTTGCCTCCTGACTGTGGGTCAAAACCAATGGTACCATTTTGGGGTAGGTGCACCACCCATTTTAGTCTATTTTAGTGGGGATTGGGATGTTCACTGCGGGTGCGAGTTTTTGACTCCTCCGCCTAGGACTGAGCGAGTGCAGCTGAGCTGGGTCGCTTCACATTTGACAGGCGTGTGTGCACTGCTGAGCGGGTGCACTTGAGAGGGCGTGCTTTCCATTTGGCAGGCAGGCGCGCCGTGCTGCGGGTGTACTTGAGCAAGTGCGCTTACGATTTGGCAGGTGTGTGTGCAGTGCTGGGCGGGTGCGCTTAAGCAAGTGCGCATACGATTTGGCAAGCATGTGTGCAGTGTGAGCGGGCCCTTGAGCTGGTGCGCTTGCCATTTGGCAGGCGTGTGTGCCGCGCTGGTGAGCAGGCGCGCATGAGCAGGTGCGCTTACCATTTCGCAGGCGTGCCCGCAGCACTGCAGTGCTGGCGGGTGCACTTGAGAAGGCGTGCTGTCCATTTGGCAGGCGTTGGCGCAGTGCTGAGCGATTTGGCAGGCGTGTGCGCAGCGCTGAACCTGTGCGGGGTTGACGCCAAACTGCAGCAAAGCTCTTGGGTTCCAAATGACGGCGCTAGCCGCGAGAACTCTGAAAAAGGAGAACACCCCCTGTTTCGGTCAGTCCCGAAAATGAGTGGACAAGCATTCCCTTAAAGGAACACATACACAACAACACATTGCTGTGTCTGACCAATGCTGCAACTAGCGCACAGGCCGCACAAGAAATAGGCTCGTGCCTGCTTGATTGAAGGTTGACTTCTGTCACTTTTCATTTCAGTCGTACGTGTTGTTCGTTGGTCAGATCTTGAGCTCTCCCACATCTGTGAGGGGAGTGGACGCAAGTTCCTTCCGTCTCCCTCGAAAAGGACTCCGCAGTCCGTCGAATCTGGAGGCGTGTGGCGCATGCGAACAGTGAAGGGGAAATCGCGAGGGAAGCCAGGGAGAAGAGAAGAGACTACGTTTGCCACGGCATGCGCTTCGAGCGTCAAGGTTCTGCCTTGACCCATATCGTCTCTTGAGGTATCTGGATTGATTCATGGTTCGTACCCGAACACAGCAATAAGATCGCTAGAGTCTGTTATTCAGAACACAAGTGTTAGTCGCCACAAAACCACAAAACCTGGAAGCCAGCCAGAAATAAACCGCCCAAAAACGAGAAGACCAACCACATAAGTCAACCACAAAAGCAAGAAGGGGTGCTGCCGTGTCGGTCCTCCCCTTGGAACTCTGCTGCATGGGGTCTGCCCCCAATACGAGCAGCTGTCGCACCAGATCCGGGTCCCCCAGCTGAGCGGCCACGTGAAGGGGATACATCACCTGCTCAAGAGAACTCCCCCCCTCGTTTTTCAGGTGAGCCATAATCAAAACCCGGTAATTATCAACATGGCCTGTAAAGACTTAAGAAGGCGGCCACAGCTATTTATGGTTGGGATCGTCCCTTACTAACCTTCACTTACCCGGGTTTTGATTGTGACACAGGTTACCCTTGATTGGCGGATTGAATTTGCGGCTGTTGGGTTTGAACAGCTTTGTTTTCCGTGACCGAACCACCAATTCACCCATATGGGGCTTCTCAAAATTGAGGCACAGATGTGGGTTATATGCTCTGACACATTGCAATATCACATTCTTCGGGAGACCTCCAAGCGAAACCTCAACTTTAGGTCCCTATGTTGAGAAGCACGCGGTGCTCGGCATAGTTTCCCGGTGACCCTGACTGGAACGGGAAATGCAAAGGCAAGTGGTGACCAAAATTATACGCAACAAGTTTCGCATATTCTGGTCAACAAAGAAACAAACAAACAAACAAACAAACAAACAAAAAACACAAAAAGCAACCGAGCACACAAGCACACGAGAAAACAGGCAAACAAGCAAACCATATCAGCCAGCCAGCCAACCAGCAAACGGCCAGCAACCAAGCAAGCAAGCAAGCAAGCAGCAGACCAAGACAAAAGCCCAAAACAACACAGAAAACAACACAATCAAACACAAGCACAAACTCAGACCAACCACGCCCACCCTCGCACTCACAAACAATACCACTCACCAACAGAGACACGTAATTCACAAACACAAGGAAACAACAAACAGGCAAACATAACAACTCGCGGCAACTTGCACAATTCGCCAGCTTTCACACACACACACACGCATCGCCACACATACAAACACACAAACAAACAAACAAACAAGCAAGCAAGCAAGCAAACAAACAAACAAACAAACAAACAAACAAACACACAAACAAACAAACACCAAGCTTAGAAAAAAAAAAAAGAAAAAAAAACCCACAAACTCAGAAACGTGCAACATACACGCACCCACGAGCACTCACGCTGGCACCACGTACGCCCACACCCACGCCCACGCCCACGCACATGCACAACGCACGTACCCTCACAAGCATCCATGCACACACTCACCCAGCGGCCGCAACATTCACTACCACACAATACCACTGCAGCATTGCGCTGCAATATGCGAAAGCCACCCTCATGGACTTCACTCGACTCTGTGACCATGTCGTATATCCCGCCTCCTTGCTGCGAAGAAACGAGCAGCGCTTGGTTGGCGCGGGCTCCGAAATATCCGTGAAGCCGTACTCGTTCAGGAAGTGCTCAGGGAGTGCATGCCAGGCAATCGTGCTTCGACCCCCCACGCGCTACAATTCCATTGGGAGACCTAAGAATGTGGCAACAAAATCCAAAAATGCTACCTATGTCGTGCTCTCTCAATTTGAGCTGAACATTCTCAACTCATCCCGCCTGCAAGCGCTGCTGTTTCTGGATCTTCGCTGCTTGTCTGCGAGACGAGTTGCTGTTTTTGCTGTTCCTTGACGACATAGTCGACTCACTCGATGTGGAGACTTCTCGCACTCGGGTAATCAACTCCTGGGGAATGAACCCCGGAAGGAGGGCATGCGACATCAGCGCCATGGGAGTTGGTTCTGGAAAACGCAAGTCTTTCCGGACCTGCTGGACCGAGCTCGGACCCCCGCCTTGGCGCTGTGTCGCCACTAACTACAAAAAGTTGAGAGCCTGATGGCTGCGGTGCGCAAGAGGCGGTTGTGACTATCTATGTCGACGCTCTTGCCAACAGGGTTGCTCACAAAATGGCTTTGAGAAAAAACATCAATGTGTGGGCAATGGGCAAGTTTCTCTAAGGCTGCATCCCTTGAACCTATCACTGCCTTTGGGAAGGGATTTTGCCGATGGGGGCCTTTCTCTCTGCCGAACGAAACAAAAAGCCGGCCGCAATTTGCCAGCGAGCGAGAAAGAGAGAGAAAGAGCGAGAGAGAGAGAGAGAGAGAGAAGGAGTGAGACACACAATCATGTGCTATTCGAAACATATATGCATTACATATGTGGGAATTGTACAAAATTGCTTTGCCCGCGGACCCTCCAATCGCCGGCCAATCGCAATCCAACCCCGTTGTCACAGGGTCCAATCGCGGAGCAATGCTGGGCCTCTGTGCTGCTTCCGTTTTCGCTTTTCGCCTTTTGTCTCAAGCGCTGGCCTTCCTCCATCCATACCTGGAAACAGGAAGGAAGTGACGTAGCTCGGATGGGCAGGGCCTCACCAGCGCAGACGAAATCAACATTCAGGATTCTAGAGGGAACTTTTGCGCGAGCCCGCTCAGTCAAAAGGAGCGAGACGTGCGTCGGCACCATGATCTGAACTCCATGCAATGTCTAAACTCATAATACATGCGTCGCCCTTTCGCGGTCCCATCGCCGGCCTTTCGCGGCACGAGTTTTACCAATCGCGCAGTTCGACAAGTTGCCACTGTTCATAAGTTTTAGACATGCAATTATGGACGGCCCCCATGTACATATATGTATATATATATATATATAAACAGATACATACATATAATACATTGTAGTGTGTGGGTGTGTCTCAATAGGGCATCCCCCCACAACCCTTCGAACTCCCTTCAATGCACCCTCGAAAGAGTACTCCTTGTGTGTGGTCATCATCCTTCGAAGGAACTCTTATAGTTGTCTAGAGTCCACACACACACACACACGGGTTGTCAAAACTAGCCATCCAAACAAAAGGCGGCAACTTGGCCAAAACCTCGTGTAAACCTTTGTGTCTCCTTGGACGCTCTCAGCTCCTGGCATGCGGCCCTCTGGCACCGTGTCATTCCTCCGATATGCCGAACACGGGCTTGGCCGCTATGTCGAATTGCTTCGCATTTTTGTGCTGAAAGGGTGTGGGCTCTTTCATGAGTTATGTCCCAGGTCACCATTTGGTGGGGTGCCAACATCGGGCGACGTCAACCGGTCGGTTTCAAGTTTTCCTGTGGAACCCCTGAAAAGGGGACTGATCGATGAAGCACAAGGCCCTCCGCTTGAAAAGTGTCTCTGTGGGTGTGGAGTATGGCAAAGGGAACCAATATGAAAGCAAGCGCTTGGGAGGGTGTGTGTGTGTGTGGCTTACACAAACCTATGCGGAGAGGCGCACGCCCTGTGCATTCAGGCAAGTTTCATTTTGTGGAGGGTGCAAACACCTGGCTGGAGCGCTGGGGATTACCTTCCTTGTTTTTGTATCCTGGATATCCTATAGAAAGGAGGGCTGACTCCCCAAATAGACATGAAGTCCCTTGACTCGCGGAACGGCCAGCTCGAGAGAGCTCTCAAGCCGAGCAGCACAGGGTTCACGATGGTGTACAGCGCCCACCCTGGCCGAAGGAATGTACGGACAAAATTCGCGCGATGGATCAAAGCACATTTCAATATTGGGATAACCAGGTAACCAATGGGAAGTGGACTTTGTCAGCAAAAAAATGCCAGACCGCTAGGAACAATCATTGTTCATTCCCATAATTTCCCTGCAGGCTGCTGAAGCAGCACTCCGTCTGTCAACCAGAGTCCTCGAATCCCAAGCGCATAAAATAGCTCCAAACAACAACAAAAACAGCGCCCGGGGGGGCGCGTTCTTTTGGTCATAAAATAGCTTCAATCAGCGTGTGGGGGGGAGGATAACTTTGTTGGGGGCCAAAGCAACAAGCCGCCTTCCCTTTTCCAGCCACTGACCATGACAAGTACCTGCTGCGCTCACGTTTGGATTGATGTCTGGTGATTTCTGACGGTTGCCAAATAGCACCTTTGGCAATCACTCGAAAGCCCCTTCATTCTCCCTGTCCCGGATCCAAGAACAGTGCGGTCAAACTTTAGTGCGCCCCGCTCTCTTGTTCTCTCCTCTCTCTCTCTCTGTCATGTTTGTGTTGCTCTCTCTGTCTCTCTCTCTCTCTCTGTCTCTCTCTCTCTCTCTCTCTCTCTCTCTCTCTCCCTGATTAAATAAATATAAATGTATATAAATATAAATATGAATATAAATGTAAATATATATATATATATATTTATCCGCCGACCCTCTGCCTCCCATCCCAGCCTCCTGCAGAGGGGACCGGCGTGGGATGCAACTGGAATGAAGTGATTGGGACACACACCCAAAAGCGATTCCCAGGACCCGGGATCAGCCCCATGGACCAGTCCTGGGACCGGTCCTGGGACTGTGGTTCTGGTGCTTCGGTGCTGGCGAGTGCCGGGACCGGTTGTGGGACCGGTCCCAGGACCGGTCCCAATCCTTGTGGTAGTAGAGGATCCCTGGATGCATTCTGCAAGAGAGTCCAATACGTCGATTCAAACCGCGCCAGACTCGGACCAGCCTGGACAGGGTCCCAAGTCCCGGACCTCTCCCGGGCCAACTCAAAGTGACTTGGGCGCGAGCCGGGCCAAGCGGTAATTAACGGACTAGCTGCCATCTTTCTGACTTTTCCGTTAATCCTTGTTTGTGGTCGCAGAGGATATTAGAAGACTGGCACCCGTGTTTCAGGACCGGTCCTTATGACTTTTCCCTTAATGCGCCAAGGGTCGGCGGCAGCAGGCGGGAGCCTGGTTAATCCGGCCACCGGACGTGATCGGGCCGCAGGCCAAAGCCCGCAGGGCTTACCTTCAGGTATAAGGCCGTCCGCGCCGCGCAGAACATGCGCCGACCATGCTCCGACCATGCGCATACGTTTTGCGCTGGGCCCACCCTTATAAGGGGCGAAGGATTTGCGGATTGGCTTAGGCGATTTCCTAGGATTTTTGTGGCATCTCCCCGCAGCGTCCAAAAACGAGTCCAAAAACGAGTATTTTTAGGGGGTGCCTAATACCGGACTACACCCCCAGCACTGCCAGCATCATTCCGGACGATGCGGATGATGCCATGCATGCTGACGATGCGAAACAAGGAGCTGAAGGGGAAATGCAAGGAAACAGGAGTGACTGGAAGTGAACGAAATGAAAGTCAAAGGAATTGCACGCAGAAACCGAGATGCAGGAAAATGCACGGGCAGAACGTGAAGAACCGGACAGCGGGAACGAAAAGGGAAAGGAATGCGAATAAACAATTCATGGGAAATGGCTGGATGGAATGGGCTGGAAAAAGGATGGACAAAAAGGATGCAAAATTGATGGAAATGAAGGGGCGTTGATGAAAAAAATGCGGGAAATGGAGGGAAAGGGGATGGATGGAAAATGTGTGGACAATTGATGGAAAGTTCCTGGAAAATGCATTGATGGAATGAATGGAAAAAGGATTGCAACAGGGTGCAACAATTGAGCATCCATGGCGGACATTGCTTCGGATGATGCAGTCGATGCAGGGGGTGCTGTCCACGCCGGTCAGGGACGTGTGGGGAAATGAAGGGAAAGGTGAATGGAAATGGATCGAAAAGGTCTGGTAAATGGATGTCAAAGGAATTGCACGAAAATGAAGAGGGCACTGGAAAGAAACCGAGATGCATGGAAAATAGTGGAAGGAAGTGAAGGGACATGCCAGGAAACTGTCAGGGAAGACATGCAAAGGAAGTGAAGTTCAAATCATCCCGACAACTCACAGGACTTGGAGGGAAAGGAAATGAAAGAACGGGAAGGGGTGCCCGGTGGCCGGCTGTGTCGCGTCAGCGTGTAAATCCGGCTACGCCTCCTGGGGTAGCATGTCGCCGCTAGGCAATTAGCTTGCTAGCTTTAGCTATAGGGGCTGCACCCTGGTGCCGCCGACCCTCGTCACTTGGTTGTGATGCGTGGCCTAAATCCGGCACCTCTGCATCACCAGCTCGGGCTTGCGGTTTTGCTTGCCTGTGGGAAACCCTCGCAAAACATCGCGTATATGCAGGGTTTAGGCCATGTGGCTGACATCATCAGGGGGGGCTTGGTCTGCGTCATCAAGACTTCCTTCCAAAAGCCTGCACTTTTTTTAGAAGGTATCGGAGGCATATAAGCGAGGCTCATGTTCGCGCAGTTTGGCGCCAAGCGCTGCCGGGCATGCCGGCGATGCGGGTCCCCGCTCTACAAAACGCTGTAAATACCATCAAAAACTGCTGTGCTGAGCGGTGGGCTGTTGTTCTGTCCGTTTTGCTTTTGCTGTGGCTGGCTCGCGTGCTGCGCGGTCCTTGCTTTTTTTGCGTTGGTTTTCGGGCCTTCCGGCGCGCGCGCGCGCGACCCCAGCCACAAAACGCTGCTATTTACGGTGTGTTGTTGCTTTTGCGTTTCCGGGCTGGCTTGCGCGCTGTTCTTTTTGGGCTGCTGTTTCTGTGGCCTCTGGTGCGCGCGCGCGACCCCATGTCAGCCTTCTGGTTTGGGTCCCGGCTAGGGCCCAGAAAGCTGGCATCCCCGGCATCATCTGGGGTTGGGGTGGGCAACATGCATAACCTAACCAGCCATATCATAGCACAAGATATGTTTATCATACAAAAAACGTGACATGACACGGTATAACTTCAAAGAGGCGTAGCCGGCTAGAGGTCGCAGACACAGAAAATATATATGGACCTACCTTTTGGACGAATTCACTGGTATTTGCAATGTTTTCTGCCTTTCCTGGGGCTTTCGCGAAAGCAGTAAAACAATGTGTATTTCCAAGGACATTCTGGAAGCTTTAGGCACGATTCAAACTGTCAATCGGTTTCAATCGAGGCCCAGATCTACACCCCAATCTCCTTCAATCTTTTTAACATCTAGGCCCAGATTCAACATTCAATATTCCAGGCCAGACTTTTCCAGAATATCTTCAATCCAAGCCCAGATTTAAATTAAATCTCCTTCAATCCTTTTAAGATCTAGGCCCAGATTCAAGACTTCAGGCCAAACTTTTCCAGAGAATCTTGAATCTAAGCCCAGATTTAAGTTTCGATCTCCTTCAATCTTGTTAAATCTAGGCCCAAATTCAAGATTCAAGACTCCAGGCCAAACTTCTCCAGGGATTCTTGAATCTTGAATCAAGGCCCAGCTTTAAATGTCAATCTCTTCAGTATTTTTTTAATCCACAGATTCAAGATTACAGGCCAAACTTTTCCAGCGAACATTTATCTTGAATCCAGGCCCGATTTAAATTTTAAATGGGTGTCAATCGGCTTCAATCGCGGCCCAGATTCAAGATTGCATGGTGAATCTTGAATCCAGGCCTCCCTATTCCCCTAGCATTTCCTGCTCCCATAGTATTCCCCAAGTATTCCCTCAGTATTCCTCTCGCATTCTCCTAGTATCCTGCTTAAAACTCCCTAATATTCCCTAATGTTCCCTAGTATTCCCGTGATATTCGCCTATTCCCCTTAGTATTCCTCTAGTATTCCCCTATTCCTTTAACATTGCCTTACCCCTAAATTGTTCAGTCATTCTTAGTATTGTCTTGGTATACCCCCAGTTTCATTCTTCGTATTTGCCTAGTGGTCCCTTGATATTCCCCGAGGATTCCCCTTAGTATGTCTCTAGTATTCCCCCATTCCTTTGCATTGCCTTACCCCTATGCTGCCGTAGTGATTCTTAGCATTTTCTTGGTATACACCGAGTAGTCTCCCAGTATTCCCCTAGCATTGTCTTACCCCTATATTGCCCTAGTCGCGGTATCATCTTAGTATTCCGTTTGTATGCCCTTACTAAAAATTCCTTGATAATTCCACAATTATTCCCTTAATACTCCCTCCCTTGGCATTATCTTACCTGCCCGAGTATTCTCCTAGCATTCCCTTATTATCCCCTCAAAGTTTCACTAGCATTGCTTTAGTATTCTCTCGGTGTTCTCTTAGTATTCCGTTGATTTGCCCTTACTATTCCCTATTGTGCCCTTCATATTCCCGAGAGGATAACACGGGAATACTATAGGAATACTACGGGTGAGCACTAGCATAATACTAGGGAATTGCTAGGGAAATGCTCGGGGAAAGTATGGCCTTACTATTCGCTGACAAATTCTCTATTATTCCCTTCCCATTATCGAGAGGACAGCAAGGGAATACTAGGGGAATTCTTCGGGTGAACACAGGAGAGTACTAGGGAATTGTCAAGGAAATGCCAGGGGAACAGTGCGGGAAACAAATACAAGGGAAAAACTGAAGAAAAAAAACAACAACCACCAAACAAACAGATCGAGAAATCAAATATTTAGAACTGAGAGGGATAGTAGGTACTAGGGCAATACCGCGGTCAGATCATGCTAAAGGAATAGGGGAATACTAAAGGAATACTAAGGGGAATACTATGGAAATATCAATGGAATACTAGGGAAATGAATATTAAGGAAGTACTAGGGGAACACTGAGGGAATGCTAGCTGGCAATAGTGAGGAAAAAGTTAGGGGAACGCTGAGAGCGTTACAACAACAAAAACATCAAAACAAACATTCAGAACTGAGAGAGGCACTGGAGAGGAAACAAAAAGGTAGGTTCCTGCTGGGGGGGCACTGAGTTTACTGGAACAACCTGTACATGTCCAGTGTTTTGTGGAGAAGGTAGGTTGTCGTCGTTTGTTACCATATGTCATGTACCATATTTGTATATACATATATATATATATACATATGTATGTATCTTGCACATCCGGCAAGGGGCCAGATAGGGGTCAGAAAACATAGCACGTATCTTTCCGCTCTGGTCTCCCAGGCTGGGTAAAGTCTCAGATTTCCAACAGCGTTTGCTCCCCATTCCCTGGAACAAGGATAACCATGGTACAATGGAACACCCTCCAACAGCCATGAAAGCTGAGGGACGATGGTGCGATGAGCAACTCTGCAGACTAACACAAAGCCCAACAAACTGCAAGTTGTAGAGGAGACGCCCAAAACCGGCTCGGACCCTTTTGAGTATGTTACCTTTGCAGATGAGCAAACTCAAGTTGATGGAAACGAGCACCCCTGTTTTCATGCAAGTTTACAGCTATGAGTTCCCCGCGCGAGCAGAACACTGACCTGCAGGAGTGCTGAGCTGGGTGGTAAACAGGGGGTCTGGACCAGCCGATGAAACAACACCTTCTGTCTGTGTATATATATATATACATATATATATATATATACATATATATATATACACGAGTATGGTGTGTCTTGTTGAGGGTATCCTTCTTGTATCCTTTTAGGTGTGGCTTGAAGGAAACCACCCATTCCAGAGGGCTTCCCCCATTTGGAGAAAACCCTGGCTCCGCAAGATCCAGGCCTATCAGCAGCAGGACCAGCCAGGGGCCCAGCTGGAACAGCGGCACCAAGAACGCCTCAGAGGCAGATCACACCCCAACACACCCGTTCTAGGCCTCAAATCTAGACGCCAACGGAGGGCTTTCCAATCCGGTCGCGAGTTCGAAGGTCCTGCGTGCCCCAAAAAGGCATACCCCGCCATCAGCCGCAAATGGGCTATACAGTTTTACAGAGCGATTACAGAGGCCATCCAGGATTCTGCCAGAAATACTATCCTTATATGGGTGTGCCTTCTTTGAGGGTATCCCTTTTTCCGGTGGCTTTCAAGGAAAACCCAACAGGAACAAACCACATTTTGGGGGTCCCCTTCAGAAAATCACTGTCTGTCCATTTGGGGAAACTTCAGGTCCAGTCCCCTCAGCACAGAGCCAAGTCCTCCTCCCAGGAAGAGGTGGAAGGAGCCTCCGGCGCCACTTCTCACGACGGGCCTTCCCAACTGCCGGGCCACTCCAAACCTGAAGCCGAGCATATACCCTTCCAACATAGCACTTGTGGGAGGGCACCTGGATCAGTTTCCTCTTAAACCCCCTGTGCCGTGCTATGTTAGTGGGAGGGAGGGTATATCATCTGACTGTATGACGTGCATAAGCCAAGCAGAGTGAATCGTCTTTTCCCACGAGAATGATCGGCCCACAGAACAGGACGTCCAGAGGTTGATAAATGGTGGGCGTAGTGCTGACTAGAATCCTGATGCAACATTGAATACCAATCAGCTCCGTTTGGCCTGCTTTCAGCAGGCCATGAGTCTGCCACTCGTAGCTCTCGTAGGAAGCTCGCAAATTGGAAGTCTAGCTGGCCTAGCTTGGTCTTAACTTCTCAGCCAGCCATTCTAGATTCGTCCCGCACCTTTTTCCTCCGGTAAACCTGCATCCCCCCAACAAAGATAGAAACCAGACCTAGCATAGAGCCCCTGCAACGATTAACTGCTGGTTGAAACGGGCAACGGAGGGCACCACAAAGCACCGTCAAACAGGTGCCCTCCAGGCTAACGTGGAAGCTCCGACCCCTTAGGCGTGGTTTCCTTAGCCTTAGTGGCCTTTTGGGACCTTCCGTGTTTGCCGGGTAGGCTAAGTCTGATAATAGGGACAATATGCGGCACTGTTCAAATAACAGTTACTTGGTGGCTTGGATCGGTTTGGGGACAAATGAGAAACCACCCCGGAACACCGCCAAACCCCGTTGCTTAAGTCCCCGGCAAAAAAGGCATATGTCTAGTGCTAGAGTCCCTTTAAATCCAAGAGGGGGAAGCCAACACTGGGCAATCCTCAGATCCCCCGCTAAAAGTTTAACTTTTGAGGTAAATAGAGACTACCACCAAGCACTAAGAAGCTAAGAAGCTAAGAAGCTAAGCTAAGAAGCTCAGGAACCGGAGGACCGGAGGACCGGATGGCTCCCACAGCCACCGAGCAATCTTCATGTCAGCTGAACGCCCACCGAAACGTCAGCTTCCATCTCACGGGTCCCGAGCCTTGCGGCGAATGAAACGCTTCGGCTCGAAGTCCTCTCCAAAAAAAAACGGAAGCGGTGTCTTAGCGGAAGCCCAAGAAGAACACGGGCGACTCTCATCTAGTTCTAGCTGAGTTTCCTTCAGTGATGTAAACGAGGGATATGTCTTTGTGGCTGCCAGGTGCCACGTGCGATCAGAAAGTTCGGGCACCCTGAAACAGACACCCACTATTGTAAGCCAGTTGAAAGTGCAGTTGCCGGGTCTGGGGAGAAAAATCAAGCGGCTCAGAAGTGAGGAGTGAGTAACTCGAGGCGATCTGAAATGGCCGTGTCAGATTCCACTACGAAGCAAAGCTTGGCTTCGAAAGGGACTTCCAGAATCATGCCTTCCTGCGTGAACAGTGTTTTTTGTTTTTCTGTTTGTTGGTTAGGGAAATCCGCATTTCCCCAGAAGGCTAAGGTTCAAAGATCCAGACGAGTAGCACCGAGAGAAGATCTCAATGGTCCCGCGGCGTCAGCCAAAAACGACTCGTCGCTTGGTCAAGCGTTCAAAATGTTCGGCTTCGCGGCTGGGTTGGGGTCATCTGTTTTCCCCCCCCAACTTTGTTACAAAATGACCCGGATCTCCCAGGAGGACATGGGGAAATTATGGTGAGTACATGGCTGTGAGTCAAGAATAGGTACCCAAAATGGCACCCTGGTAAATGAAAACAGTGACTAAAATCTGTGGTCTCCTGGTGGTTTAATTTTGACCCACACCCACATGTCCCAAATGGACACGGCCAGACCTGTCTGCACCTCAAGGGCGCCAACTTGGTTTCGGCTTCAAACGGGAAGGGGAAAGAACGTGGGCTCGGGGCTCAGGGGTAACAAGGCAACGGCGGGAACAGGCTCCCTGTTCTTGCTCTGAGCCAAGGACATCGAAAAACACGTCAGAATACCCAAACTGGAAATAAGGGAACAACCCGATCAAGGACCCTTCAAATATGGATGAGCTCGTGTTACACACGAACCGGTGAGCTCACCATGATGCAATTGGTCCACAGGGCATGATAACGAATGTATGTACAATGTATGTGGCAAGCAATCACACAGACAAACACAAGTCTAACAATCAGAGACATGCAAGGTGTCTGCTTGTGATTTTATTCTTTATCAGTTCACCACGGCTCCATACTTGGATGTTCCACCCCACCTAAGTGAAACATGATGTGGGCATGAGGGACCTGTCCCCAATTACCATGTTATAACCTGCTCACTGAAATGTGTTGAACATCCAGTCCTTGCTGTTTGGAAGACCTCTCAGCTGAATTTCCCATCCACCATTAAGGTTGTGGAAAATTGCCCTTGTGACACCAACATGGGCTATCCGTCACAGAATGGCCCCAACCATGACCCTGCTTGCATGTTCCTTGTCCAGGTCAGGATGGGGCAACCTACTTTCCACCGGTGCAACCAACTCAGCGCATCTCCTCTTTGCTCAAGTCTCCCGCCCTCGCCGCGAGCCTCATGCGCGAACGCAAACAGGGCAGCCGGAAGCCAGCGATTTGAATCAACCGATACTCGACAAGCGGACGGATATGTTTAGAACATCGGTGACCTGAGAGCAATCGCGATGGGTCTGGAAATCATGCAGCTCGGCCCCGTGAAAAAAACAACAACAAAACGGGACACCAGTAACAAACAAGGTCTGTTCAGGTCAACGGCTGGGCAAAAATGGAAGTCCTTTGGGTGTATGCAGAGGTGTGATAATATGTATGTATACATATTTGTATAATATGCATATGTTAAAATATATTTGGCGTGAGGTAGACAGTGAGCCTCATAGTTGACAACTCACTATCATGACAAAGCCTACCTGTCTTTCATAGGCTGAACTCTACTAGAACACCGGCAACGACAAGTCACCCGCATTCTGATTGTGGGAGGGAGAGGGAGAGAGGGAGAGAGAGAGAGAGAGCGAGAGAAACACAATCACAGAGATAGAGAGAGAGAGAGAGGGAGAGCAACTCTACTAAAGCAAAGACATGACACTTTGTTTTTCAGGGAAAGAGCGCGAGAGGGGGAGAAAAAGAGTCAGAGAGAGAGAGAGAGAGTGTGAGAGAGAGAGATGGAGATACCGCAACAGAAAAAACCAAATTGCCCAGTCAACTTCTGTTCTCGCTGTTGCCAACAAACAACCTTCTCCAGCCGATTAGCGGCGACCAAAGGTTGTGCAAGCAAACGGGAGAACCCACCAAGAGAAAACCGTACCGGACAAAGCGCAATGGTTCCAATGGTAGTGCTGTCGACACTGCGACGCCTTGCCACCCTGAGAAACTCGGCCGCTAGAAGACCATTGACAGCAGCGCATGCCGAGCATTGCCAGTGTCAAAGCCACTTTGCACACCGCACGCCTCACGCGTGAGCCGCCTTTTGTTCACGCCTGGTTCGATGCGCCGATGTTCGAAGGGGTTACCGCCGTGACAGGGTTGTCAGGCTCCCCAAGCATGATGTACTTGGCGTACCTCCTGCGCAGAAGCAGCACATAGACGCTGAGGCAGCAAAGGATGCAGCCCACCAGGCCGCCAAACAGCACAAGGGCAACGATGTCCTCAGCGTGGGAAACACGATATTTTCACAACCGGGGATGGAACACACCTGATGCACTCCTTGGTCTTGGAAAAACACATAAGCATATGTATGTTGCAATCATGGCACACACACCAAAGAAACATCTAAACAACCCATTTGCAGCATGCAGCAATCGCGCTGCAGCATTGCCTCATGATCCATGTGCAATGCTAAGCGGCGAACGTGAAAATGCGCAAACAAGCCCATGCATTCAAAGCTGAGCTGTGCGCGTGCCGCTGTGCAATCGCTTCGCCCTCGTTTGACAAATGCAACATTATGTTATATATTTATATCTCTCGCTCTCTCTCTCTCGCTCTCTCTCTCTCTCTCTTTCGCTTTATCTTTCTTTACTTGTTTTTCTCTCTCTCTCTCTTTCTTTTTCTCTGTCTCTTTCTCTTTCTCGTTATCCTTCTCTTTCTCTTTATCTTTATTTTTATCTTTCTTTTTTTCTTTTCCTCTTTATCTTATTTCTTCAATTTTTCCTCTTTCTCTTGCTCTCTCTCTCTCTCTCTTTCTCTGTCTCTTTCTCTTTCTCTTTCTCTTTCTCTTTCTCTTTCTCTCTCGCTCTCTCTTTCTCTTTCCCTTTTCTCCTTCCCTTTATCTTGCTCTTTCTCTTTCTGTCTTTTTCTCTCCTTTTTTTGGCAGCCGGAGCTGCGGGAGTGCGCTTCGCGTACTACTTTTCTACTTAAAATGTGCAATTCTCAGGCCGGAGTTGCGGGAGCGCACTTCGCACACTGCCTTTCTACACTTTAAACTTGCGATTGATTCTCAGGCCGGAGCGAGCGTAGTTCGCGCACTACTTTTCTACTTAATTCTTGCTATTCTCAGGCCGGAGCCGCAGGAGCGTGCTTCGTGTGCTACTTTTGTACTTGAGTTTTACGAAAACCACAGCGAGAGCGATCCGACACGTCACGGCAATCTCCCGACGAACCCTCTGCAGAGATTGTGCGGCGCCGTGCGAAGAACCCTCTGCGGAGATTGCGCGTGTCGAGTTGTTCTCGCTGTGGCGCCGTGCGAATTTGCAACCTCGCCGACAAACCCTCTGCGGCGATTGTGCGTGTCGAATCGCTCTCGCTGTCGCGCCGGGCGAATTTGCAACTTCGCCAACGAACCCTCTGCGGAGATTGTGCGTGTCAAATCGCTCTCGCTCTGGCGCCGTGCGAACTGTCGACTTCGCCGAAGAACCTTCTGGGCGAAGTTGCACATTCGCACGGCGCCACAGCAAGACACCGAAAAAATATCCAAAGACCAGAGGATTTCGCCCCTCGCTCATATATCTCCATATAATATAGATACACACACATATATATATATATATACACACATGTGTATTATAATTTATCAAAGCAAGTTTAATCAGAAAACGTCCGCAAAACGAAAAAAGTTGATCAAGCAGACGCGCACTCCCGTAAAGCAGAACCAGAAGATAGCGCCCGGTCGAATCGCGAAGGGTGCCTCTGTTCAGCACGCGGGCTCACCGCGGGCTAGCCGCGGGTTCGCCACAGTCTCCCAAAGTTGCCCAACGGCATGCTCGCGCAAACCGCTTCGGAGGTTCAAATCGCGTGACAGGAGCAGCAGTTTGGCAATGCGGAGTGGCTGCGCGAACTGCCGCGTGCCAATTTCGTGGCACGCCGTGATGTTTGTAGCCTGAGGTGCAGATTTCGAGGCAGGCGCAGCACTTTCGCAAGGACAAGGGCGAATTTCGTGGCAGGCGCAGCACTTTCGCAAGGTCGAGCACAGATTTCGTGGCAGGCGCAGCACTGTCGCAAGGTCAAGTAGACACTTCATGTCCGCAGGGTCAAATACAGATTTAGTGGCAGGCGCAGCACTTTCACGAGATCAAGTGCCCGCAGCAGCCGAAAATACCCTACAGCTCAACAACCCAACAGCTCGAACCCTGCCTGGGTCGCACGGGCCAGCG